CGCTCTTGTTGCTTGTCCAGTCTGCGCGTCCGTCTCTGGACCAGTGCTTCCGCCCAAGATTTTTCACGGAAGCATGTGGACCCCCTGACTGACGGGGAACAATTTTTAGTCAGCGGCCGCGAGGGATCAAGCAGCGTTCGGGCAGCGGCGGGTCCGTGCTGGGGCCAAACTGCGGCAAGAGAGGCTGGGGAAGGCGCGCGCGGGGCGCGAGAAGAGCGGGAGGAGGGCCCAGGGGAGAAGAGAACCACGCTCAGACCGTGCAAGCCTTCACGCGCGCGCCGAAGCCATGCAGGAGCGGGGCGCCCAAGAACAACCCAAGATTCTGCACAGAAGCACACGACCCCCCTGGTTGATGGGGGGAGGACAAGGGGTCTTCGGCCCTCGTTGTCTGTCGAGGGTCAGGTGCGGGGCGTGCGCGGCAGGGGACAACCCTGGCCTCCGGTCCCACCCCCTCCCGGGAAACACATTTGTACGTCGCGGCGCGGCAGAAGCAATCCGCTCGCGCGTCCGAGCGAGACCGGGACACGGAGTCGCGGATTCACCCGCATGCAAGAGGGAGGGGAGTAAGGGAAGACAGGGCGGCCGCGGAGGGGGGAGCCTGGCGCGGGGGCGCTCTCACGCAGCAGGGCTGCGGGGAGCGCGCGGGAGCGGCCGGGTTGAAGGGCAGCCCCTGGCAGCCGTCACGGGGCGGCATCACGATGCACCGGGAAAAACGCCAAAAACGTGGAGGAGGAGGAGGAGGAGGAGGAGGAGGAGGAGGGGAAGGCGGAGGGGAGGAGGGGAAGGGAAAGGAGGAGGGAAGCTGGAGGAGGAGGAGGAGGAGGAGTGAGGAGGAGGAGGAGGAGGAAGGAGGAGGAGGGGAAGGAGGAGGAGGAGGAGGAGGAGGAGGGAAAAAGAGGAGAGGAATAAAGGAGGAGAAAGGAGAGGAGGGAGGAGGGGGAGGGGAGGAGGAGGAGAGGAGGATGAGGGAGGAATGTAAGGCGGGGAGGTGGTGAAAAGAAATAAAACCCTGCGGTCGGCGTCTAGGGGCTGGGGAGGAGTCTGAGTCTGCCGCCTTTGCGTCTCGTGTCCTTCGGCGGCTGGCGTTGTGTTGCTTCGTCCGCCTTCTGCTTCTTTTCGTCTGCTTCGTTGAGGGACGATGTGCCGCCGACGACTCCGGAGGAGGTGTCGCCCTCACCCCGCCACCAGCCTCCCCAGGCCTGCCAAGCCACGCGCAGTCGCGCCTATATCCCCAGCGGAGCCCGACGCGGGTCCTCCTCGCGCCCCCCGCGCACCACGCGTCGCCCCCTCCTCCTCCCCCCTCCTCTCCTCCTCATCCTCCTCCACCTCCTCCTCCACCTCCTCCTCCTCCTCCTCCTCCTCCTCCTGCTCCTCCTCCTCCACCTCCTCCGCCTCCTCGCTGGCTCCTCCTCCTCCTACCTCCTCCTCCACCTCTCCTCCTCTCCTCTTCCTCCGCCTCCTTCCTCCTACCTCCTCCTTCTCCGCCTCCTCCTCCTCCTCCCGCTCCCTCCTCCTCCTCCGCCTCCTCCTCCTCCGCTCATCCTCCTCTTCCTCCGCCTCACCTGCCTCCTCCTCCTTCCCGCCTCCTTATCCTCCTCTCTCCTCTCCTCCTCCTCCTCCTCCTGTCCTCTTCCTCCGCCTCTCCTCCACCTCCCGCTCCTCATCCTCCGCCACTCCTCCCTCTTCCTCTCGCTCCTCCTCCTCTGCCGTCCTCCGCCTCCTCCTCCTCCTCCGCCTCCTCTTCCTCCGCCTCCTTCTCCTCCGACGTCCCCTTCGCCTCCTCCTCCTCCTCCTCCTCCTCCTCCTCCTACTCTCCTTCTCGTCTGCCCCCTTCGCCCCCTTATCCTCCTTCACCCTGCCGTGGGGCTCTCGGACACGATGAGCAGCAGATTGGGGCAACGAACGACGCCCTGCAATCCTCCTCCTCCTCCTCCTCCTCCTCCTCCTTCTCACGCTTTGGAGCGCTAGGATATGTACGCCTACGCACGCCAGCCCCCCAGGCCACCCACAGCAAGCAGTCGCGGCGCTTGATCGTCCACAGCTTCACGGCCTCTTGAAGCGAGGGGGGAGGGAGATGAGAGCACTCTGCGGGAAAGATGGGGATGCACACCATGTGCCGAGCACATTCGCGGCAAGGCGAGAGGGGACAGACCCTCCCCCCCTCCCGCCTCGTTCTTCCATCCTCCTCCTATCTGCGCGCTCCCCCCGCGTTCCAACCGCTTGCCGCGCATCCCCCCCGTCTCCCTCCTCTCCTCGATCCTCCTCGATCCTCCTCCTCCTCCGAGCTTCGAACTGCGGACCGATGTGCGCGAGGCAATGGGGCCCTCGATGGCCCTCGCCGGGAGTAGGAGGAAGGACCGCTGGAAGTTCAAATGGATGAGGTAAAGGGGTGGTCGTGGCTACGCCCCTAAGTATGCACATGGATGCGGCCCCTACCGCTCCCCCTGGGGGACCCCGATCCAAACTGCGGCTGCTCTTGGGGAGGAGCAGTGAAGCGAGGCGGATTACTGCTGGGGATCCAAATGCTGTGTGGCACCTGGGGCGGCCTGGGGGCGGTTGGGCGCGCATGATTGGGCGCGGGAGGACAAGCACTCTCGACGGCGTCGCTCCTCCTCCCCTCCTCCTCCCCCTCCTCTCATCCTCCACCTCCTCCTCCTGCTCCTTCCTCTCCGCCTCCTCCTTCCCCTCTCCCACTCCTCGATCCTCGACCCTCCTCCTCCTCCTCCTCCTCCTCCTCCTCCTCCTCCTCCTGTCCCTGCTCCTGCTGCTGCTGCTCCTCCTCCTCCTCATCCTCTTCCTCCTCCTCCCTCGCTCCTCCTCCTGGTGAGCAGGTGAGATGTGGGGATGGCCCGCGCGTGGACCCAAACCTCTCGAGGGCGGCGGGGGTCCGCCTCGCCGCGCCCGCTCCCGGGCTCGCTCCACCTCGTCCCCTGGAGGGAGAAACACCGCAGAGGCACAAACTTGCGGAGGTCCGCGCAGGTCTATTGGAGCGGAGCGGGCGGTGGCGTGCGGAGGGGCAGGCGTCGAGCGAGCAGGCGGCGCGGAGCAAGAATAGGAGACGCGGGACGGCGGGGTACGGATGCGGTGTCTAGAAGGGCGCAGTGAGGAGGGGTGGAGGCTTCCTCCTCCTCCTCCTCCTCCTCCTCCTCCTCCTCCTCCTCCGCCTCCTCCTAACCATCATCATCATCATCATCATCATCATCATCATCATCATCATCATCATCATCATCATCATCATCATCATCATCATCATCGTCGTCATCATCATCATCATCATCATCATCATCATCATCATCATCATCACCATCACATCACCGTCATCGTCATCGTCATCGTCATCGTATCGTATCACCACCTCACTATCATCTATGATCGTCGCTGTATCCTCCCCCAGGTTTATTGCTAACGTATACAGTTTCATGCATCAGCATGAGCATCATCATCATCATCAGCATCATCATCGTCATCATCATCCGCATCATCATACTCATCATCATCATCACCATCATCATCATCAGCATCATCATCATGTCCATCATCATCACCACCACAACCACCATCATCATCACCATCATCATCATACTCAGCATCATTATCACCACCACCACCACCACCACTTACACCATCATCATCATCATCATCATCATCATCATTATCATACTCATCATCATCATCATCATCATCATCATCATCATCATCGTCATCGTCTTCGTCATCATCATCAGTATCAGCAACAGCATCATTTTCATCAGCATCATCCTCGTCATCATTATTGTCATCATCGTCATCATCGCCACCACCACCATCATCATCATAATCAGCATCATCATAATCATCATCTCCATCATCAACATCATCATCATCATCATCAACAGCAGCATCAGCACACAATCATCACCATCAACATTATCATCACCACCACCACCATCATCATCATCATCATCATCATCTCCATCATCAGCATCATCACCAGCAGCATCAGCACATCATCGTCATCATCATCACCACCACCATCCTCATAAGTATCATCATCATCATCATGTCCATCATCTGCATCATCAGCATCATTATCATCAGCAGCAGCAGCATCAGCATCATCATCATCATCATAATTCCCCTCCTCCTCATACTCCCTTCTCCCTCACTCCTTCCTCCTCCTCCTCCCTTTTCCCTTGCTCCTTCCTCTTCCATTCATTCTCCTCATAAATAACGCCTCCTCGTCGCACACCGAGGCTGGTTTAAAAGGGCGGGCCGGGCGTTTCGCCTGAGACTTCCTCGCCATTTGTGACCCTGAAGCTTCAAATTGACCACAGCATCACATATGGAGGGCGTGTGGTTTTCAGAAGTGGCTCTCGCCTGAGCGCCGCGCAAATTCGTTTCAAACAAATTGCACAAGTTTCACGGCTTGAGGGCGGGGGGGGTTCAAAATGCAGCTCTCGCCTTGGCGCCGCGCACACTCGTCTTAAACATTTGCAGGAGTTTCACTGGGTGGTTTTCAAAATATGGCTCTCGCCTTAGCACCGCGTGCAGTCGTCTTAAAAGTCTGCAAGGAGTTTAACGGATTGAGGGCGGGTTGCTTTCAAATTGTGACTCTCGCCTTAGCGCCGCGCACATTCGTCTTCTAAGTTTGCAAAAGCTTAACGGATTCAGGGCGGTTCCGTTTCAAAATGTGGTTTTCGCTTTAGTGCCACGCACATTCATTCTTTAAGTTTAAAATCGTTAAACTAGTTCTCATGATTACAGTTACCGTACCAGTGCGCTAGACCGGTTCATGCTTGTCAGGACGCAACAATTAAGTTGACTCGCTGTGCTGAAGCCTCAGGCACGATTCAGGATCACCTAGACCTCACAATCACGTTAACTCGCGGCGTTGAAGTCCTGAGAATGGTGTTTGGGCACGCTTCAGGATTTTTACACGGTTTCCCCCAATGGGGCAATTCCCTCAGTGGACATAAACCCTTGTAGGGGCCGATGAGGAGGGAGCTTGGAGGGAGGGTGTATTCCAACATCGCAATGGGCAATATCAGCCGAACCAGGCGAACCAAATAAACGCGGAACAGCATGGGGACCACAACCGTATGCGTCGGCCCTCCTCAAGGCCTCGCATGATACCCGGCCCGTCGCCGCACGGGATGCTACACACTCGCAGAATTAACTACTGCGCGTGTTGTGTCAAGATGCAAGGGCGCTGCGCTTAAGCACTGCGACTGCGACTGCCAGGTAGCCAGGCAATCAGGCAATCAGGCAGCCCGCGGGCCCTGCGCGCGACTCAGCAATTCGGGCACTGTGCTGCACCGGACGCTGCCAACGGCCACTCTGATGGTGACCTGTGAAGCCTGCGGCTTCCAAAGCATCGCTGGGGGTAGCATCGCGAGACTCACTGCCTAGATCCAGTAACGCTGTTGACCCTGGTAGGAGCTCCATTAATGACTCCATCTGCACGGCTGTCACTGCACAATTTGCCAAGATAAGCTCCTCCAAGTGTTCTAACAGGTGCCAGTCCACGAAGTCCCCGCTGCTTACGTCCAGGACGCCGCGGTTGCCGGACAAGTCCAGCTTTTTCAGAGAGGGAGGTGGGCAGCCTGCAAAGCACCTCAACTGTCTCGAAGTCACTCCACAGTTTGCCAGGACCAGCTCCTCCAAGTGCGTCAACAAGTACCAGTCCACGAAATCCCCGCTTACGTCCATGACGCAGGGATTGCCGGACAGGTCCAGCTTTTTCAGAGAGGGAGGTGGGCAGCCTGCAAAGCACTTCAACTGTCTCGAAGTCACTCCACACTCCGACACAACCAGCTCCTCTAAGTGTGTCAACAGGTACCAGTCCACGAAGTCCCCGCTGCTTACGTCCAGGACGCCGCGGTTGCCGGACAAGTCCAGCTTTTTCAGAGAGGGAGGTGGGCAGCCTGCAAAGCACTTCAACTGTCTCGAAGTCACTCCACACTCCGACACAACCAGCTCCTCTAAGTGTGTCAACAGGTACCAGTCCACGAAGTCCCCGCTGCTTACGTCCAGGACGCCGCGGTTGCCGGACAAGTCCAGCTTTTTCAGAGAGGGAGGTGGGCAGCCTGCAAAGCACTTCAACTGTCTCGAAGTCACTCCACAGTTTGCCAGGACCAGCTCCTCCAAGTGTGTCAACAGGTACCAATCCACGAAGTCCCCGCTTACGTCCATGACGCCGGGGTTGCCGGACAGGTCCAATTCTTTATTGCCAGGTATGGCATGACTTGCGAGATCCAACTTGTTCGCCCCCGTCAGCATTCGGCCGTAGCGGCCGCCTCGCGCGACTCGCGCGCGGGCGCCCTCCGTGCGTGCCTGCGGTGGCCGCGATGCAGCGGGCGACGGGGGCCGCCGGGGCACCCGAGGGGGGCCCGCTGCTTGAGCGCCACAGGCGGCCTTGAGCCAAAATGGCTACGGAACATCGCTGATGAGTCTTAGGGTTGCACCGGTCCTCCTCCTCCCTCCTCCTCTTCCTCCTCCTCCTTCTCCTCCTCCTCCTCCTCCTCCTCCTCCTCCTCATGCTCCCCTCTCCCTCGCTCCTCCCTCCTCCTCCTCCTCATGCTCCCTTCTCCCTCGCTCCTCCCTCCTCTCCATCGCCCTCCCCTCCTCCTCCTCCTCCTCCTCCTCCTCCCTCCTCCTCCTCCTCCACGACGCAACCTCCTCCTCATTGCGCTCCCTTTCCCTCGCTCCCTTCCTCCCACCTCCCCCTCCCCCTCCTCCTCCTCCGCCTCCTCCTCGTGGGCAGGCGAGATGTGTGGGCGGCCCGAGCGGGAGCCACACCCTCCGAAGGGGGGGGGAGGGCGGCCCCCCCCTCGGCGCGGACCCTGGACGATGGGCAAAAGTCAGGCCAGGACGGGTGGAATGTCCAGCCCGCGCGCGAGGACGCGGCACCGGGGATGGACAGAGCCCCATCGTAGTATTACGTTGCTCCCATCGTACTTTAGGACCACATCGCAGAAAGAATGTCGAACACCCGGAAAAGTGGCGAAAGAGTGTCGAAGCAGTGTCGAAAAAGTGCCTCCCAGGCCCCAACACGTGAAAACCCTCGAGTTTCGGTAGTTGTTTCTGGTGCTCGAAATTCTTTCTGGTGATCAAGGCTAAAGTAGGCTGGAACATCACAACTGTAATGAAGAATGGCCTAGTGAAGACCACCTCGGGCCCCAACCTGGCGGGCGGGAGCCTGGAGAATGGCGGCCGCGGCGCCCTATCTCGGGGTCCGATAGCGGACAACTCACCAACCGACGTGTCAGGGTGGGGGTTCTGTCCACCCCTGGCGGCACAGGGGAGGACTGCGGACCCCACCGGGGGCCGGAAAGCGGGGCACAGGAGCGCGCCAAGCACGCGGGCCAGCGCCCGTCTGAGGGCCACCGGAAGAGGAGGAGGTGGAGGTGTAGGAGGAGGAGGAGGAGGAGGAGGAGGAGGAGGAGGAGGAGGAGGAGGAGGAGGAGAGGAAGGACAAAAAGGAGGTGTAGGAGGAAGGGAGGAGGAGGATGAGGAGGAGAGGAGGAGGAGGTAGGAAGGAGGAGGAGGAGGGGGAAGGAGAGGAGGAGGAGGAGGAGGAGGAGGAGGAGGAGGGAGGAGGCAGGAGGAGGAGGAGGAGGGCCCCCATCCCGGGAGCTGCGGCTCCACGCGCGAAGCGGCCCCGAGCTTGGCCCCAAAGGATGGTCTCCCAAGGTGGTGCCAAGGTGGCCCGAAGGGGCTCCTCCTCCTCCTCCTCCTGCTCCTTCCACCTCCTCCCCCTCCTCCTCCTCTCCTCCCTCCCAACCTCCTCCTCCCTCCCTCCTCCCACCCTCCCACCCTCCTCCTCCTCCTCCTCCTCCTCCTCCTCCTCCTCCTCCTCCTCCTCCTCCTCCTCCTCCTCCTCCTCTGACGTCTTCCCAGCCCCCACGAGCCCGCAGGAGAGGCGCGTGACATACAACACGCATGTCGAAAGTACTCTGGGAGCGGTTGGCTGGCGGACTACGAGAGTACCGTCGGGGCGTTGACCTAAGGAACCCTAAATGAGGAGCGAGGCCCCTTTTTTCCATACGTTAACCTTCGATTTCCGGTCGAAGACACAAGGAAAGCCTGAGGCAAGCTGTGAAACATCTAAGGAACGCGGAGCCCCTCCCCAACGAAAGGGGTTCCTTCTTCAGGGCCCCGACTGTACAGCCCAATGGAATACATCGACGGGCAAAAGGTAGCCGAGGCACCTGCGCCCAGTGGCTCCCACGGGGGGCGGGATCGAGTGGCAAATCGCGTGGTCAGGGCTACCTCGGCCTTCCTGCCTGTGCGGGCTTCAAAGGTGCTTCTCGGGCACCACGGTGGTCCCAAGAGGGCCACCAGAAGAGCCCCACAAGAGGGTCACGTCACGCGTCCCCGCGCCGCCCCCTGGAGAAGGGCAGCCGCTCTGGCCCAGACCGCGACGTGCGAAGCGCGCTTCTCTTCGCGCCCACGCGGGGGACCCAGAAAGAGCATGAGCATCGTTTAACCGAGCCCCATCCCCACCCGCGTGGGCTGGGCCCCACCAGTCGATTTACCACCCGTGGATGGGGATATAGGCTGCTCTGTTCGGGTTTCGAGGGGCACCTCCCCAACTGAGGTGGTGAGACGGTGGAGCTCGAGATGTGGCTGGGGATGGGGATGGGGATCGGTCAAACGATAGTGACCAGAGAGGCACCGACTGGCTCCTGGGAGGCCCCTGAGAGGCCCCAGTGAGGCCCCCGATACCACCACCACCACCACTGAGCCGAGCATCCAGCAGGACACGTGAGGCCCCCGATAGCATCCCCAAATTCCCAGGATGTAGGGAATCGAGCTCTATACACCGACGCTTCTTCCGGCCCTGCATTCGAATTTGCACTGGAGAGCGGATACTGGTGTATACGGGACCCTGGTGTATACATTTTTCGTTGCTTCCCCGGGGCATCGGGAAAAAAGTATACACCGCACCACCCCAGCGTCGTCCTCGACCCCCAAGAAATCCTGGGATTGAAAACAGCCCGCCACTGGTAATGTATATGTTCCAGTTTCCGAGGATGGCCAGAGTCACGGAAGCACATGCCGCTTCTCGACGGCGTCGACCGCTCTGCCCCCGTGGGCTCCGCGGCCCCCCGTGGGGAGTGCTGCAGGGGAGCCCCCCGGAGGGCCCCCGAGAGCCCCGGGAGCGAAGGCCAGTGGGAGGCTGGGCATGTCCCCGTTACAGGCGGACGGGCCTCGGAAAAAAATAGCGAACACTCATGCCACATTCATCTGTGAACGCCTCCCCCACCCCCCAATGTTCAAAAAAAAAAAATTAATATTATCAAAAATAAACGATCCAAAAAAAAGGTAAAAACAAAAAAAAAAACAAATAAAATAAAAAAAGTAAAAAAAAAAGAAAAAAAAAAAAAAAAAAAAAGAAAAAAAAATGAAAAAAAATAAAAAAAAAAAAAAAAAAACAAAAAAAAAAAAACAGAAAAAAACAAATACAGGAAAAAAAAAAAAAAACCAAAAAACAAAAAAGAAAAAAAAAGGAAATAAAACAAAAAAATAAAAAAAAAAAAGTTGGCGGTGGGTCTGATGAGTTGCACCTCGACCGCAGTCTCCCCCGCGCGTGCCAACTTTGAGTTTGGGGGGCAGGGGGGGTGTTCACTAATTGTTTCCCCCTTTCGGCAAAAAAAGAAGAAGAAATAGTTAAACAATGTTCAAGCTCTGTCAAAAATACCCTCCCCCCAAAAAGGTCCCCTGACCGTTCTTCCTCTTTTTGAATGCTCCTCCTGTAGAGGGACATGCCCGACTTAAGGCTAGTGGGAGGCATCCCCCACGGGCCCCAAAAACAGCCCCAGAGGCCCCATGATGAGCCCGAGGTGTCCCACGATGGTATAGCAAAGCCCCTTGAGGGCACGCATGACGAAGCAATACAGAGCAATGCAGTGCAAAATGCAACGCATCGTATAGCAAAGGGATGCACGACACAGCACCGTCGAGCACACAGTATGGCGTAGCATGGTAGTTACACCATGGGACAGCATGGTATAGCATTGCGTACCATGTCTCAGGGTAGCACTGGAAGCATTGCGCAACTTAGCAGAGCATTGCATGGCCAGACCAATCTACCACGGCATATCAGAGCCAAGCACTGCACAGCAGTGCATTGCATGCCATGTCATCGTTTTGCACAGCGCTCCAAATCGCGATGGGTGCGCAGCATGGCTTCCTCCCAGTTCTCTTCCCCTCCTCCTATCATTTGTTGTCGGCCCCTGCGCGCACCCCTTCAGCGCGGTGCTATGTCATGCCATGCGTTCGCATGTTAACAACCCCCTCTAGAGACCAAGTAATCCTGATTCGTAATAAAGGGAGGGGGGGTCTCATTTCGGGGGGGGGTCTCTTCCAGGCTAACTGGAGGGCCTGGGGGGTCTGGGGAAGAATGTTTTGGAGGGGCTCACCAACGAGGGAGGTCTGAAATGGCTTTCTTGGAGGGGTCCAGACCCCAGTCCAGATTCTAGACTTTCTTACACGACATCTGGAGTCCATACGACATCTGGAGTAATAAAAGACAAGACAAGCCATTTCAGACCTCCCCCGTGGGAGAACCCTCCAACACATCGTCCCCAGACCCCCCCAGGCCCTCCAAGATAGCCTGGAAGAGATCCCTCCCGAAATGAGACCCCCCTCCCTTTTCTTACGACCTCTGGAGTAATTAGAGGCCCTCCTGTGCTGCAGTCGACTCCCTGCCTCAGGCACTTTGAGCACCGGGAGCAGCCGTGCCCCCTTCCGCTGCCCACGCCGGGCCGGCCACCGAGCGGGTCCTTCGAAGGGGCCCTGGGACACACAAATGAATGCACACAAATAAAAAGATTCCCCATATTTTCACATATTTTTAGGGGTTTTTGTCTTCCCCACCACTTCCCATATGTTCCTATATTTTCTGGGGAGTCGACGATGAATTGTGTCTGTGTGTTTCTTCCCCTCCTGATCCTTCTGGTGTGGAAGAAACTGCCTGTCGCACCTGTCGCAGCCTTGCTTCTCGCCGGCCCCGCAGTTAAGCAGACTTCCGGCGGTGGCCGCAGTTAGGGGTCCAGATGTGAACCCTACCCCTACCTCCCACGATTTCTGAGGGGGAGGGGGAGGTTCACTTCGCTCGGGAGCTCACGAGCAAAGTGAACCCCACCCTCCCCCTCAGAAAGCGTGGGGGGTAGGGGTAGGGTTCGCATCTGGCCCCCTAGCAGTGGTCGCACGCGAAGTGCCCGAAGCAGCGGCAGACGTGCCCGGGCCTCCGCGGCTGCGCGCGGCCCTCGCAGACCGCCGGCGCCGCGGAGCCGCGGCGGCGCGCCCCCCGCGAGGGGCAGTCCGCAGCCCGCGAGAGGCCAGCTGCGCCCTCGAGCTCGTCGGAGCCCTCGGGGGCCGCGCGGGCGGCGCCGCCGCCCCCCTCGCGCCCCGTCGCGCTGCTGCG